CACACCTACGACAGGAAGGTGGTCTTCCTCCGTTGTAAAGGTTGTTCTCATCAGCCAAGCCGGCAACTAAATTATCAGATTTTCCTAAGGGAGGAGTGATGATAGTAAAAGAGGATGGTGCCCACCTGGCCTGCTGTCTCAGCCAGATCACTTCTGTCAGTTGATGAGGTAACAGATGTTGTGGCTACATTACAAATATGCACATACAAAATAGAACTGGGGAAGAAATGTTTTGATTTGGCCCTTTACCAAGTGCTTCAAATTACCTCACCCACGTTTAGAGTCAAGGTCAGAATTTAAGTTAAATCGCCACTCCTCTGAAGAAACAGTGACACCAGATTTAATTTAGAATATGATGTATTCTGTGTTCCAGGACTGGTTCTTTAATGGGTTCTTGTGTGCTGTAGATCTCTTTACAGGATTTAACCTTAGTCTGAGAAGAGCTGGTCCCTGGCCCAGATTATACACCAAGCACTTCTAAAGATAACACCATTTGTGTTAAGGGGAAAACAGATTCTGTTTCTGGTAATCTTTTCACCTCATCATAGTTCCTAAAAAAACATTTGTTTCCATTTGACTTGCACATCTAAATAAAATGAATTTTTATTTAGCTTAGGAAGACTTCAATTTATATTCATCTAAATACTTTCTACCAGTATTCATCATGAGACTTTCCCCAAGACTGTGAAGTAGATTGACACCAAAGTCCATTTCCATGACAAAAGTGAGACACCATGAAAGTAGACCCAAGCCAGAATAAACTAAAAATGCATTTTCCTACACAACCATATGAACCATACGAAGTACAGCTCTCAATCAGCCTTAGGACAAAAAGATTTGCTCATTCATCTTTGTTTAAAAAAAAAAAGGCAGTTGGTTTTCTGAAAAGAGGATCTATATACTACTTTATTAGTTTGAGCATGGCAATTTGTGTTTATTATTAATTTGTAAAGATTTTTGGTCAGTATCTCTACTTCTTTGATCAAACACTGTGTTGAGTTTGTACGTTTACATTATTTGATACATGGTACCTTACTCTAATTAAAATGCTGATCCTTTTCATTATGTAGTACAAAGAACTAATTTGCAAATACTGGATCCCTGTGTTAGCACAGCTGATTATTGCCTAGATCATATTCTGTCTCCTGAAACATAATTGCTTAACATAAAATCTGCTCCATTATTTTTAGTTTGAAAAGTATTAATTTTGTTTCACAGCTATCACTGATCAAGGGAATTGTTCTGCCACAGACAGGAATTGTCTGCTTTGATAGACCTTCGAGATGGATTACTTATGATTCTTCATTTATGAAAGGATCCCCTTCCTCAAATTAAAATAGTCCTTTAGTTGTATTAATTCATTTACTATTATTATATTTATTTTGAAAACTATACATTTTAGATGCAGATCTTTAATTGTCTTGTATGGTAATCAGATAACATGCTTGCTGTATGTCTAGCATTGTATTAGATAGAATATAGAATGTATGTTCCATATAGTATGGAATGGAAGTGTGAAATGTATATGCAATTAACATCTGTTACTAGAAAGAAAACAATGATAGGAATCCTCTTATTTCGGAAGAAGAAATAAGAGTTGGTTGTTAGGAAAGCATGCCACTTAATGCTGTAACTGAGAAAGCACCATGATTTATGGGAAAGATAGTTGAGCTAGAGTGAGAATTCTAATTCTTTCTCCACCACATTCCAGATGTGTAAGCCATTTCAGATCACTAGACCTTTATTTCCTCATCTGTCAAATGAAAGAAGTAGGTTACTTGATCTTAAAGCTCTCTTCTGGATTCTTATGTATCTATATGGATTCATGCTCTTTTTAAAAATGAAACTAATGCTATTGAGCAATTAGGGAACTAGAAAGAGCTTCTTGGTTTGCTTGAGTTTTACTGTCAAGCTTTAGAAATTTGGCAAAAGAGACTACTCTGTGCTGGGAGTTAGAGGCACAGAGTTGGGGTTAGGTACAGAGGCTTAAGCCTGGGGAGGAAAATAGTCATGAGCCAGAGCTACTGAGGAGACTAGTAGGAGTTGAATATATTAGTGAGTAATGGAGAATAAGTAATGACTGGGTTATGGAGAACTTTTAAAGTCAGATAAAGATGTCTGGACTTGATACAGTAGGGAGTCAGTGTAGGTTCTTGATTTCAGTAAGAGAATTGCCCTAATATCATAATACAAGAGAGACTGAGAAAGGCAAAATAGGTTAAGGACACAAATTTAGGGAGAAATGATTGTTCTTAGGGAGAAATGATTGTTCTAAGATTGTAGCATTAGGATTGGTAATTTCAAGAGAACTTTCTTATTTATAAAAAATTTCAAACATGTTTTGAAAAGTTGAAAAATGCCAAAAACAGCCATATATGTCCATCACCTATATTCAACAATTGTTAGTATTTTGCCATACTTTATATATATATATGTAGAAAGTATTCTTTTGACTTTTAATTTTGATATAATTTCAGACTTATAGAAAAGTTGCAAGAATAGAACAAAGAATTCTATATATTCTTCATCTAGATTCTCTAAATAGTAATGTTTCACCCCATTTTCTGTTAACATTTTACCAATTTTGATTTATCCATCTCCCTCTACCTCCTCATCCTTTTCTCGCTCTGAACCATTGAGAATAAATTGCAAACATGATAGCCTTATTCCTAAATATTTTACAGCATGTTTTGTTTCTCTTATATAAGCATTGTGTAATTCTTAAAATTAGGAGATTAACATGGATAATTACTATTATTAAATACACAGACTTTACTTATGTTTTGTCCGTTGTCTCAACAGTATCCTTTATGACAAAAGAAAATCCTGAGTCATTCATTGTATTCATCTGTCACATCTCCTTATTTAATCTCCTTTAATCTGGAATAGTTTCTCAGTCTGTCTTTGTGTTTCATGACATTGATATTTCGAAGAACAGTTATTTTGTAAAATGTCTCTCAGTTTGGATGTATGTAATGTTTCCTCATGATTAGATTTAAGCTATGAATTTTGGCAAGAATATAACAAATAATATTGGGCATCATATCAGGAGGCACCTGATGTTGCATTGTTATCACTGGTGATGATAACTTTACATAAATATCTTGTTACTCTTCAGACTTTTATCTGCTTAGCTTAGCATCTACTTATGATTCTTGCCTGAATCAATTATTACTATAACAGTTGTCAGATAGTGATTTTGTAATTCTGTCGTCCATCTATGTTTATTACCTAGCTTTTTACTATAAGGAAGAGTTTTCTCTTCCCTTCCCTTTCTTCTCTTTATATCAGTGTGGATTCATGGATTCATGTTTCATTCAGTGGATTATAGTCTATCACTAACCTTATTGTTTTGATGCTCAAATTGTCCCATATTTGGCCAGTGGGAGCCCCTTATGTCTTTTTGACATGATCCTGTTATTCTTTGAGCCCTTTTTAAATTTCTGACAAAAAGGTACTCTATATTGAACTTGTACTTTCCTGGTCTTAGCCCTGAAATCAACTATTTCTCCCCAGAGTCTTAGTTTTTTAAATGGAGAATGGTACTTAAAAGTCAAGACCTGAATATATGGTATGCTCATTGCTTCTATGCCCACCTGGTGGACAGAGTTAAGAAATAGATGTATGTATATACATAGTCTCACATATCTATATGTATTTCTAATCTATATTTTTCTATACATTCACATATATTGGAGTTCATACTCTAATTCATCCCTATATCACAGGATTAATTCTGCCACTGGGAAAATCTCTTTCTCTACATGCCTCCATCCTTACCAAGAAAGTGAAGGAAGAATTGATAGATTGACTAGAATAGAAGAACTTAGATTCAGATTTTTTTTTAAGATACAAAATTCTTGGCAGGGAAAAGACAGGAGGATAAAAATACGTGTATGTAACATCTAAGACCTGCTGTGATTTCATTGTGAAATTTTATTCTTAGCTCTTTTTTTGATGGATTGAGGTTGTTATGCCTGAGCTATTTGTAAACCACAGTGAGTAGTCAGATAGAATGCACTAGAAGAATAAGGCCTACCTGGTGGTATATTTATTTCAGACAGCATTCAGTAGCAGAAAGTTTTAACACAATGAAAGATGAGCAGAGTAACTAGATAAGAGATTAGGGGAGGGGGCATATTTGAGATGTAATGCTGCATCTAATTTATTTTGATAAAGCCATTTAGGTTACAACATTTAATAGTTAAGCAAATATTGATTTATTGTATCTAATGTTGAGGGAACAGTGATGACAAAGTGAGCACAGTGGAGCTTTCGGCTTAGTTTTTATTTTGTATTCCACAACTGTGGAAATCATGCTAAAACCTTTTCTTAAAGAAAGATTTCTTTCTGTTTTTCTATTTCCAGTTAAGTTCCAAGTGAAATTTTTGGCTTGTTATTAAGAAAGATCAAAATTGATAAAGAAGAATAGCATTATGTCCTTATTACTGAATGTCAAGCCTTACGTGAGCTCTGCATAAGCCTTATAGAAGTGAAATATATAATTTATATATGTTAATATATATTTCATAGTGCCATTGCCATGTATTACTAATATATATTTAATTGTATTTGTGTTCTTTCTCCGGGGTAAAATGACTAAAATGCTTAATATAATTTGCTTCTAAATGTTATTAAACTTAGTTGTGCTATGTTAACTATGCATGTCTAAACATGAAAGAGATTGCTAATCTTTGTTTGTAGAGATTATGGTGTGATACTAACTCTTGCTTTTAAAACAAACATATTTTTGTCAGATGACTTGCAGGGTGCACAGTCAGAAATTGAGACAAAACAAGAAATTCAGCATCTTCGCAAGGAATTGATTGAAGCCCAGGAGCTAGCTAGAGCAAGTAAACAAAAATGCTTTGAACTTCAAGGTGAGATCAAGATTACTCTGATTCTGTAGGGGATGTGGAGGCAACATAGTGTCACTGAATTGCCCCAAACTTGGAGTCCAGAGGCATGGTGTCTTGTTCCCAGAGCCACAACTTCGTTAGATATGTGATCTTGGAACATTACGTAACCTCTCTGAGCTACGTTTCTGGTCAGTAAAGTGGGGAGAGTTACAGTTGCTCTGCTTCCTGACAAAAGATCAAGAAAGTCCTGTAGCAGTGAGGAGGATATAGCTCAAGTAATGGAGTGCCTGCCTAGCATGCACGAGGTCCTGAGTTCAATCCCCAGTACCTCCTCTAAAAATAAATAAATAAACCTGATGACAACCCCCCCCCAAATAAAGACCTGTAGCAATGAAGGAACTTAATAGTTAATTATATATTATGTGTAACAAAATGAAAAAACATAATATATATAAATTTCTAAGTTTTAGTTATACTTAATATTAGCTACTCAATATAAGATAAGGGAAATTTATATTCTCTGTGATTTTATAGTGTATTTTCAGTAAATGGGAGGAACCAGACAAGATTAAGTTACAGAATCTTCTAATGTCCCAACCACTTTCTTTTCCAGTAGCTCACTTACCTGTAGTGTCATAGGCCAGATGGAGTCTGTGCTGTTCCCTAGAGCTTACATTTGTGTATAATTCAACTAGTTGCAGTCAATTAGTGCCTTAGAAAATCCTTAAGTGAGGCTAGAGTAAATGGTCCATGGAGTCCTCCTGGTCTCTAAAACGGCCTTCCTGACCAGGAGGAAGAGTCACATCCCAGGGGGATCTGTGAACTTCCTGTCAGTAAGTAATTACTATGTGCTTGGCAGTGAACATGAGGATTTTAAATCTGCTTTTCAAATTTAAGTTCAAAATGCTGATTAACAACTTATCAAGAATGCTTTTCAAGTAAAGAATAGCACATATTATCTTGGCAATACAAGGTCTAGAAAACTCTGCTACTCAGTTGAACACATTTATTACTACTGTTTTGTGCTCTTAAAATCTTTAAATTATCTAACTGCTAATACTGATAACACTTACTGCCTAACCTTTGATCCCCTCAGTGAGCTTTAGGAGGGAATTTCTGAGAATCTTCCAGCTGCTCAATTCTGAATACTTTCATTAAATCACAAAATTAGATATACTGTGCTTTGCTTTTAGCTCTTTTGGAAGAAGAAAGAAAAGCCTATCGAAATCAAGTTGAAGAATCCAGTAAACAAATACAGGTTCTTCAAGGTATGTAATACCCTGAAACTATTTGGGATTGTTTGTTTGTAATGGTTCAAAAGGATTCAAAAGTAAGAATGCAGCGGGTTCCTATTTTTCATGGCTTTGGTTCTTCCCTAGAATCTGAAACTATCATTTGGTTCTTGGGTGGGTTTTTGTTTTTGTTTTTGTTTTTGTTTTAAGATACAAGGGAAGATCCCCTAGTACTCCAGTAACAGACACTTGAAGTAGGAAGAGCAGGGTTGAAGATACAGATTTGGTAAGACTGTCACTTTTCTGGCGATGTAGTGGCTTATTACCTAGGGGGCCTTCAGACAGGGAATCAGTTTGAGTAGCTCTGTACACCAGCTCTTTTAGCTTGTTATTTATCTAATGCTTATAACACACTTGCATTGCAACAAAATTTATATACCATATGGAATCGAATAATGGCCCCTGCACTGCAGTCACTGGTAAAGACTGCCCTTCCTACCCACCTTTTTACTGTCTTTTTATGTGGGCTATCGCAGGATTACAGACATGACCTGAAAGACTGAAGGATTTTCTTCCAACCTGAGCTTCTAATACTGGGAGGCTGTAATTGTGAAATACTCCAAAAGAGGTCTTTCCCATGCCATTGTAAAATTCCTAAAGCAAATTTAATTTGCCTTACCATCAAAGAAGGAAACTAT